ATATGTACACCCAGAGATTTGACTGAGCTAACTTGTTTAATTATGTCACCACCTATGATTAGTTTAGGGGAAGTATCGTAGGTACCTATCCTTTGCCGCGATCCAATTAACATGAATTCAGTTTTAGATGAATTTAGAGTCAATTTGTTTGCAGTGAGCCATGTGTTAACATTGGATAGGTCGTGATTCATAACATCATTGATCATTTCTATGTTGTTACTGGCAAAGGTCAGGTGAGTATCGTCGGCATACATACGTGCAACTGAATTAGACAGGCAATTAGGAAGATCATTTATGTATAGAACAAAAAGCAAAGGTCCTAGAGTTGTTCCTTGCGGAATTCCACAAGTGAGAACTTGACTAATTGTTATAGAAAGGCAGCATATTCATCTCAATTATTTTAAGACCTTGAGTGTTGGTCCGGCCGGGGCTCCAACCCTCGACCTCCCGCACATCGGTCCAGCGCTCTATCCATTGAGCTAACCGGGAGGTTAAATAATTAACGTTTTTTGTGTTATTTCTTTCGAACCTTGGAGCCATGTTAGAATTTTAATGTATCAAAATTGACCAGTAACCTTCCATCTCCTCGCAGTTCTCGCAGATTAGAGGGAAAAACTAAGTTAATAATCATAAATAAAGAAAGCGGTTCACCATTTGTTGACATTCCTTTCATCAAATTACGCTAAAATCACCTTAATTCTGATGGTACTAAATTTCAAAACATTTCAGCGCATGAGTCAACGCGAAGATATCATACGAAGGAATTGCTTATGCGCTTACGTCGTTAAGGAATAGCTTATGTAGAGGACCGAGTTATTAAAGTTATGTGTACACGCGAGGGAAAGAGGAGAAAACTGAACTGAAGATCTTTAATTTCAATTATTTTAAATTGTCACGCCTTAATCAAACTGCACAGAAATGGTTCTTCAGCTAGCCTGGGCAGACATCAGCTGCAGAAGCCACAGTTGTAGCTTCAGCGGCATCAGCAGCTGCAACAGTTACATCGCTTGCAGCAACAACAGCAACTGATCGAGATGATAAGCAAGATAACGAACAGGAGGCAACCAATTGCACTTACCTCCTTTTTCAGTAGCGGTCAGTTTCTACCACCAATCGAGATTACCTGAAGACAAAAACCGAGAGACATTGTGGTTTACTTTCGAGGGACAGTTTGAGGCATGCTCACTTCCACGGTTTTCGTTGTTGTTGTTATTGTTAAGGGGGGAGGGGTGGGGGCTATAGAAAACTGACTACCAGTTAAACTTCCAATGCAGGAGGTCCTAAGAACATTATAGAGTCATACGGGGTAGTTAGAGTATATTTTGTTGCGATGTGAACAAAATCATCCGGTACGGTTTTTCCAAAAGGACAGACTGTGGCGGGGCTTCTGAAGGACTCATACCAACTTACTACGTTCGTCTGACTTTAACAGCAGGCTTCCCTCTATAACGATCACTTCTGAAAGGTGAAGGTCTTCACCTAAATCTTAACCCCAGCTAGCAGCTTTACCCAATGAAGATGAAAAAAACTCAACCTCGTTCCCAGGGCTTTTCCCTTTTTGAATATTTTGGCCTTTACCCGCCCGCCAAAATATTCAAAAAAGGAAAAGCCCTGGGAACGAGGTTGGAAAAAAACTGTCAATTATTGGCCATAAGGGACAAGTGAAGCGTCTGTGAGAATATTGCACGAAACGTGTTTTTTTTTTTTTTTCACCTTCTCTCAGATATTCATGATTAATTAATGACGAAAGTTCGACTCGGTAGAATTGAATTTATGTGAAAAGTTCAGAAGCAGCACATGTATGCGTTCTGCTTTGGAAAAATAGTGAACTAAGCCAGGTTTAAATCCTCCCTCTAGCTTCGAGGGTCGAAAGAAAACTCTCTAAATTTTGTCTCCTATTAACTTCCTGTAAAACCGGTGTGGGTACTTGTCAATTTGGGTTTGGGTTCAATTTGGTCTCGAGGCGAAATCATTGCTTCTCTGATTGGTTGCACTCACCGCACATGATGAACCCTCGACAAGGCACTTACATTTAGACGGAGATTATCGCTCTTCTGAGTGAGTCCCACTTGAACGTATACACCCGAAGAGCTGCGACCCGAGACTTCCTGGGTGTCGTCGTAAGAAAAATTATGAAACCAAGAGATATGTAAATCTGGTATGTCCAGTAAGGCTTTTATGCTGACTGGGTCGTCGTACTTATTGACCTGACGGGCGATAAGATTATGATTACTTTATTTATAGAGGAGAAAAGACCACTTATTAATCGCTCCCCTCGTTCTTGTTCTTCTTCCTCTGTTGTATCTGGAGCTCATTCCCTGATCGTGTGTACTTTTGGGTTAGTCCGACATTTTCTTATGCAGCCGCTGAGCTTTTTAATGACTTACCAAAACCACTTAAAAAATTCTGAATCGATAAGGAGTTTTACTTCAAACTATACACCGAATGCAAATATGGCGTCCAATTTGAATTGCCACCGATCTGGGCTCACCAGCCTCTCACACATGTAATAATCCTTTTGTGTTTCCACGTGAAGGCGAGGCTAGTCAGTCCACAACAATGGCAATTCAAATTGGACGCCATATTTGCATTCGGTGTATTGGTTTGAGAAATGATTGTATGTAGTTTAGTTGTATATATATTTACCCTTTATACTTATTTATTTAATTAATTTAATTTATTTATATGTATATTATAATCTATTTTGTACACAGTTTCAATGTAAATAAGAGTCAACTTTTTTAATTCTGTGTATAATAAAGTTATTATTATTATCATTATGGGTACGTAGCACTGTTGCAATCTGATTGGCCAATTTGCCGTTGTCGATAGGAGTACAGATAACCCTGCTCCCGTCACCGTGTCAAGCAATGCCTTTATCAAGTCTCAAACATAGGAAAGCACTGGGAGAATTGTTTTATTTGACGTCGATATTGCGGTAAAAAACAAATCGACAGCGGTTTTGCATGGTCTGTTCCCTTATTGACAACGAAATTCATCGTCACCGTGGTCAAAATTTGTCACAACATTTTTAGAACTCGTGTATGAATAAACGGCTTTAACTGAGTTTATAGATGCTTGAAAAGCCCTAATTA